ACTGAGCAAAATAACAGAAAATATTTACATATGTACATGCAAATTAATCCTATATAATTATGTTTACATAAACACCTATGTTCACAAGAGCTAAGTGGACAGCTCCCTGTTTGAGTCAGAAGTAAGATCTTTTTAAAATCTCAGATTTGGAAGGTTCTCATTTGAGGACAATTCTAATTGTCAAAAAGTCTCCCCCATATAGTGAGCAAATTTACCACTCTCCCTCTGCTGCTCCAGGAATTACTAGATTTAAATACCAGAAGGGATTCTCTCTATATCAGAGGTCACAAAACCAGTGCCTTACTTGCACCTAGAGGGTTGTATGGATAAGTGGAAAGCCCAAACATAAAGCAACAGCAAATGTTGGAGTGTGGTGACCTGGAGAATGCATCCCCTATCAAAAGAAATTCAAATCAAAATTTAAAAATTAGATGAACAACGTGTTAGCCAAACAAAATATCCTCAGATTTCACCTGAGTGCCTCTCGTTTCCAATCCCTGGGTCAGAATATTTCTGAGATTCATAGATGTTAAATTACTTGCCTGAAACCTACAAACCAATTAATAGAAATACGTACAATGAAGATATTAAATTCTAGAAGCAATTTACTGGCTTACCTGACAATATAACCTGATTCAAATGCTGAGGGGTCCAAGTTTGTTTTCCATTCAAGTGGTTCTACAAAAACATATTTTGCCTCTTGAGGATGTTTGTAGATAAAACTCGCCACGAACACGATAATTTCTTTCAGTATCGCCTCATTGAGAGGAGTAATTTCCAAGGTTCTGGTCCCATAACCAGCAGCACTCCACTGCGCCGATCTCGTCAGAGCCACGCCCATGGGAACCGTCAATGCTCAGATCTGAGCACACAGGCTGCATCAGAGCGGGAAGAGAAACAGAGGATAGCAAGCACCTTTTCCCCAGAACGGTTTTCCTTTTCAAGGCTTTAAGCCATCCAACCCACAGTCTGTTTATTAATCGTCGTGGCTGATTTCCTAATCATCGAACTGCTCTTTAAGGCAATAAAATAGTTGATTTTTACTGAGCCAGCTCTAAGTGAAAGCGATGGGTACTTGGATTTTCCAATCTCTGTCTGCCCTGTGAATAACTTTCTTATTTCCCTGGGTCTAAGAGAGGAAGTGCAAGTAAATGGGTGGAAAACAGAAACGGAAAACCCAAACAGTGGAAGGAAGAGTGGAGGAGTGTGGCATCACGGCTTTTGGTCCCCAGGTCTGCTGGAGCCCTAGGCGGAGGAGCAACGCTCTACTGAGCTGGGCAGCACATCGTTTAGAACCAGGCTGTCAAACTGAACTCTGTTATTCTGACTTTTTTAAAAAATGTATTTTTATTTAAATTCAATTAACATATAATGCATTATTGGTTTCAGAGGTAGAGATCATTGATTCATCAGTCTTATATAATACCCAGTGCGCATTACATCTCGTGCCCTCCTTAATGTCCATCACCCAGTTACTCCATCCCCCCACCCCTCTTCCCTCCAGCACGGACTTTCTTTTAAAAAGAGAACATTATCTGTAACATTAAATAAGAGCCAAGTTAGAAAGCAAGTTCTCACTATGAACATTCAAGGCTTTGTTCCCTGATAGTCTATACTTGTTTGTTCTCTCATTAAAGGGATCATTAAAGCCTTCCTTCCAGAATATTAGAATGGTTATAAAGTTAAATATAGAATGGAATTAGCTTTCCCCCCATCATTACGGCTAAAGCTCAGAAGTACCAAAACTCTACAGAAATGACTTGGAGATTTTGGATTTTGTGCTGTATTCAATCTCGATATCCAGTAACAGGACATCTAGGTCAGTGGTTCTTAATGAGGCAGTACTCATAATGCAGAAGTATTATAAAAGACATTTCATTATCAAAATGATAGGAAGGAGACATCATTGGCATTCAGTGATGAGGACCAAGAATGTCAGATGTCCTGCAATGTGCACGACAGTCCCCAGAAGGAAGAATTATGCTATAATCTCCAGGCATCTAGTAGATGAAAAACTTCAGGTAAGTAATACCTGCGCTTAGAACCTATCTCCACTTTACAAATAATCATAAAGGTTTTTTTCCACAATTTTGATATACACAGAATTTTCCAGGATTGCAACTATCATATAAGTCGAAGGAAGGTTGTACATACTTTGTTTTATATGGAAGTCTACCAAGAGCTCAGCATTTTGGAAAATCATGCCATTGATGGCCATGCTGGTCACACAATTAAAGTTTCAATGACATGTTTATATCAGCCTTCATCTGGAGCTACTCCATTCACAGTAGGTAATTCTATGTAAGGCTGGAGCATCCGACTACTTCATTACACATTCTAGTGCAGTGGTGCCTGAGCATTTCCATACTGATATTGTACTACAATGACTTACCTTTTAATTTTCCTTTATTTTACAGTTAGAGCACTAACATTTAAAACTATGCACGTATGTAGAATTATTATCTAGGATTTTGATTTTGGAGTAGCAGAGCAGGCATTACAAAATAGTTGTTATAAAAAAACGATAGTTCTTGGGGCTGAGTATGGCTGATATATGTGTATATAAATATGTGTATATTTTTATATCTGTATATATAATTGCTAGTGAAATAAAATGTATACAATTAGGGTACAAATTTGTTCTGTGCATTTATTTGAGTATTCCAGTGATTTGTTTCTATTGCTTGATTCTGAACACATGTACCGATGCTTATATGTAACATTGCTGATTTTCCCAATATTATGAGAGTAAGTGTAAGCTAAGTACAAATAACTTTATCTATACAGCAAGTCTTAGGTGCACAGTTCTGTTTTTAATCTTAATTATACAATTTGTTTCAATGGTCTTATAAAACTATGGCATGTGTATCATTTCCTTCTTGTACTTTTCAAAAGGAAAATGTGGACGTACATAGATTACCTAAGACTAATAGCAGTCAAGACCCCATACAGCAACTTCCTGGAAGACACTTTAAAAAGAGCTAAGAAATGCAGAAAAGGTCTTATTTTTGTCATGATAAATTTTTACACAAAAGTAACTGGAACACATTTGAATCTCTTCAAATTATTTTTCTAAATCTGGTAAACCAGGTGCTGCAACAATGAACAGGCTTGATTTGAGAAGGCTGGTTAGCAGAAGAAAATTTCAGTGAGGCCTAGGACAATCTAGAAGGCATATAAAATATTATGGGGGGGGAGGGAAAGTAGAACAAAATCCCGAACAAGACAAGATACGTATAAAAAGGCTTAAAAAAAAAAAAAGAGAGAGAGAGAAGTACTTTGCAGGCTTAACTGAATAAATTTTAAAATGAAAACAGGGTAATCTAATGTTTTTCATGTTAAGTTTGGGAAATTTCTAATGGCTTCATTTACCAAGAGAACGAGAGCTACAGCATTTATTCCACTAATCCCAGAGGTGTTAAAAAAAATGGTCAGTATAACTCAGGTAAAAATACAAAACTAACACTTTTTATCAAAACAGGCTGTTCCCCAGTTTCTACCCACTGCCAATTCAGGTGTCCTTTTGGCCTAAGAACCACGGTTACAACAAATACATGTGAATACATGTTACACATCTTTAAATTAAGGTACGATTGTTAAAAAGTTTAAAGATTAAAAGGAAAAAAGTTTTTGTGTACGTGATTGCATAAACTGAGAATCACTTATATTCATTTTCTCTACTAATCAAATCGCTCTAATGGAATTTGTTTTTCTGTTTTAAGGGTTAGTAGGGCAAGCCTCCTGTATCATTAATAAAATGAAACCCGTCCATGAATAATTTCTGTAACACTTGAGCAGAAGGAAACCCGAATTCTTTAGGAAGCTCAGGAAATGTAAGCATCCACTCTGAGATCTAGAAATGTGGCTGGGTCACATTGGTTGAGGATCATTCCGAGAATGATGAAGCTACAGAAAAATTAAAATTTCAGGAACTGACAGGAAGAGCGCCCTGAATCAAAGTACACGCAAACCCTGTGTTTAAACACGAGATGACAGCATCAACCGGGCCGGTGACAAGCGTTAGAGTTGGAGGCTCAGTTTCTAGAGATGGGGGGTGAGGGGGGCAGGCAGCGAAGACAGTATAGCCAGAAGCAGGCAGAGCCGCAAGGGCGGAGGGGAAAGGCGAAGAGGGGAAGAGAGGCTGGGAGTCGGCCTGAGAAGCAGAGAGAACGGATAACGGAGGAGATGGGGTCGCGGCAGGGTGGAGACTGGGGGCTCGGGGGCGAAGGAGCAGGACGTGCCCGGGCAGGGACAAGGTGTCGGCGGGGAGGCAGGGCCTCGATGTGGGTGGGAGAGAGAAGGGGAGAGGACGGATCTCGGGCCCGACGACAGAAAGAGAAGAGGCGAGGGAGAGAGAAGCGGGGGCCCGAGAAAGGCCCCCATTTCTCGAATCGCGCGTTAGGCTGCAAGGATCTCAGCGCGGGGCGAGCGCGAGCTGCGGATCCTGGGGGCCGCAGGAGCAGCGGCGAGTCCCCCCCCCACCCCGGCGGCCGCCCTGCGCCCACCGGCCGCACTCACCTGCAGCGCCCAGCCCCGCGGCCGCCCTGCGCCCACCGGCCGCACTCACCTGCAGCGCCCGGCTCCGCGGCCGCCCTGCGCCCACCGGCCGCACTCACCTGCAGCGCCCGGCTCCGCGGCCGCCCTGCGCCCACCGGCCGCACTCACCTGCAGCGCCCAGCTCCGCGGCCGCCCTGCGCCCTGCACCGCTCGCCGCGCGCCCGCCTGTTGCTAGGACGCCAGGTAAACACCCAGAGCCCCGCCGCCGCGCAGGCGTCGCCTCCCCGCGGAGGAAAGCTCCGAGCCCGCCCTCCGCGCAGCGGCTGCCGCGCAATTGCGCCCAGAGGCCGCCCAGCCCGCAGCCGCGCGCCTCAGGCCGCCCCGCGCTCTCGCACGCCAGCCACCCAGCCGCCTGCCCCGGGGGGACCCGCGCTCCCGCACGCCCGCCGCCTGCCCCGGGGGCGGGGGGGGGGAAGCCCTGCTGCGCGGGGGTTCCCTCAACCCCCGCAACGACTGCTCCCCGCTCGTCCCCTCCCTGGAAACAGCGTCATTCGACCTCCTTCTTCGAGGACTCGGTTCCTGACTCACTCCACCAGGTGGGAAACGTTTACCTTAATTAAGGCCACCCGCAGTGCGGGGGTTGAGCAGCTAATTAATGTGACCGAAGCAAATAGAAAATGTTCGTAAGAAACACCGTTTTCTGTGTCTCCACAGGCTTCTGGACAGGTGTTCTGCCGTGTTCCATACGGTGTTCAATGTACCTTAAATCTTCACTGAGTTCTCAAAATAGCAGAGGGCCTCTCACCGGATATTTGAGGCCTAAATGTGCTTCTCGGAAAAGCAAATGTGGTGGAATACACAAATACTCACTGGAAGAGCAGAAACTGCTCTTCAGTAGTCTAATTCAGAGAACTGGAATGAAATGAGAACATTTCCCCCTATTTTTAGATGCCTTTTACCTTTCACCAAGATGGCCTTAACCCCACCTGTAGGTACTTCTACCAACAAGAGTCCCAGCTCTGAAAAACCAGAAGGAGCTGAAGGAGTGGAAAAAAGAAAATATTTGGGGAAAGAATAATAAAAGCGAGCAAGAACAGTATACTGTCTTTGGGGGTAGAGTGTTTAGGGACGGGTCCTGGATAATTTAGGGTGGTGAAGTGTTTAGGAACTAGAACTGGATTCTTTCCCTAAAGTCAAAGACACAGATATGGATGAAGTTAGGGTATTACACGTCAGGATATTATATTGTCCTGGCTTAAAAGCGGAGCCTTTCCTCAGCCACCACAGAGAAATGAAATAGATTAGGCCTTTGTTTGGGGTTCTTTTCTTTTTTCTTTCTTTCTTTTATAAAGTTCTTGGAAGTGGGATCATTTTGCCTAAAGTTGCCTCTATCTCCAGCGAAGCTGAGACCTGCAGTGAATCAGAAGGGAAGATTATATGCTAACAGGTACATAATCTGAAGGGAGCCCTTCCAAAAATGAACAGATCACACTCTGAGACAACCACAGCCTCATACCTACAGAGTGATGCAGGTCACACTTTGGTGAGGATCAGAATCCACCCTTCAGAGGGTTGTCAAAACAGTCCTGGAGCAGGGAAATTTCATTGGGTGCTTTTCTGTCACTTGCACGTTTTAACCAGCTGTATAATGTGAGAGAGCGTAACTGAGCCCAACAGAGAAACTGGTCAGAGATCTACAAATTCAGGACGCTTGACCTTGGTCTGCAAAGCTGGAGAAAGCCAGTGCCCACCAAGATCCGAGTAGCTGTGTCCTCATTTGCCAAAGTTCATGCCAAGTGTCACAGTCTATCATTGCTTAATCTGATGGCAAAATTTGAATTTATTAACCCTGAGATTGTCCAGTAAAAAAAAAAGGCATGTAATAATATGTAAATCTGTAGAATTCCCAGCTGGTTTCTTCTAATTTTTCCTTGCCATGTTGGAGTACTAACTTGGCGTGCCTTGGCCCTGGAGGAGTCCACAGCATTGTCCAGACCCACCTGGCCCCATCCCACTCCTCCACGCCCTTGGCTTAAATGACTACTTCTCAGAGAGTGCTGACCACCCAAACTAAAGAAGTCTCCCACTAGGATTTGTCTTGACTAGTCCGTCTTACTGCCTGTTTGCTACCTCCACAGTAAGCTCCATGAAAGGGACCTTCCTGTCCCCTTCAAGTCTCTATCCCTAAGATCTAGAAGAGTGACTGACACATGGAAGGAATAAAATGGGTGAATCACCTAGTCAAAGACGCCTTGCTACCTGGCATTATCTGTTGAGCCAGGCATGGAAGGGTGAAACTCACATTTCCTCGGACATAGTTGATAGAACCAGTTGGATGATTCTAAGTGGCTGTGTTCAGGAAAAGAGCCTTCAACACTGAGAGCACACCCAGGAGTTTGTTGTAGCAGAGGACTTTCCGGCACTGCCTTCATAAAGTATGGACGCGGGACCCAGTTCTGCCCAGTGGAGCTTTACAGAAAGCCTGCTAAGGACTTCTGGGAAAGACTGGAGAATTGTCGGCCCTTCCCGGTAACTTTATGTCAGCTAAATATGCTCCCTGTGAAACCACCCACCCTGGCTCAGACCAGCTCAGCTCCTCTGTAGAGTTCAGGCACAGATCCTGTGTTATAGTCTGCTAGGGCTGTCATAACAGGGCACCGCAGATTGGGTGGCTGAAGCCACAGAAGTTTGTTGTCTCTCAGTTTTGGAGGCTAGACGTCCAAAATCAAGGTGTGAGCAGGGTAAGTTCCTTCTGAGGGCTTGTAAGGGAAGGACTTATTCCAGGCTGCTCTCCTTGGCTTGTAGACGGCCATCTTGATGTCCACGTGACATTCTCCCTGTACACCTGTCTCGGTGTGCAACTTTTATTTTTTTCTAAGGGCACCAGCCATATTGGATTAGGGTCCACTCTAATTAACTCATTCTAACCTAATTCACTCTGTAAAGAGTCTATCTTCTATAAAGAGATACTGGGACTTCTATGAATTTTAGGGAGGACACAATTCAACACTTAATATTATGTAAACAAAAAAGTCAGTAGGTCTCAGGGGCCCATTCATCTGTGTTAGAGTGGGGCCAGCTGGTGTGAAGCAGCCAAGAGAAGCATTTCCATAACCATGAGAGGATGATAGGCAAGTTCTGTTTGAGTGTCTCAGTCAGAAAGGGCCAAGACCGGTGCAATTTCATAAGGCTTGCTGGAAAGTACCATCACTTACATTGTACCATATCCGGGTTAAGTCTCATTGAGGGGAAAGGTTGCCTCTCACTGGAATTTTTCAGGGGATTTCAACAGAAATTCCGATAGAAAATTTCTTGAAGTCTGAGGAAGTTCTAAGGACCAAATTTGCCAGATCCCACCTTCCATTAAAAAGACCAGCAATCAAACAGCTTCAGTTGTCTTCCTTTGCACAAAGATAGCTCTTGGAGGTACAGGTGTACCAAGGCCCATGGTCTGGACATTAAATGGCTCCTTCTCCGTAGATCCTAACCTTCTAGACCTTCGTTTATTCCATTAATGCTTTCTTTTGGCTACCAACTTGTGCCACGCACTCTGTTAGCAGAACTAGGTTATCTAAATACATCTAAGTACATCTGGGAGCAGCTTCTGCAGGACTTTCTGGCGGGCTGCTTTTCCTAGGGAAACTTAACAAGAGAAAGATATGAGATAAACTTGCAGCCCCTGGCTGTGCAGCTGGTCTCAGGGCTATAAGAGATACTCATCCTCTTCTTTCTCTTCTGCCGATTGCAGACTCCCCTCACCCTTCAGTAGCGCCTTTGCTGATCTAGATGGCTTACCTGCTGGGGTCATCCCTGGCCCTCTATGCTGAGGGATCTGAACCACTGGCGTTATCAGCCCTTGTCACGTGGTGGCTATTTTATTTGTGCCTTTACCACTGAAATTGGACAAAGAAGTACCAAGCAGTCCACAGGTGGACCACCCAAGTTCCAAACACATCCTTCCCTAACCCCACAGCAACCCTACCTCTTCCTCATGATCAGGCTCCATTGCTCTGACCAGGATCATGACTCCTTTACTTGCCTATTGGTCTCTTGCACAAAGAACCCAAAGTCACAAAGTTACCATGAGTTAAAGTTTAAGATTTATTTATATATTTTAGAGAGAGAGAGAGCAAGCAGGGGGAGGGGCAGAGAGAGAGAGAGAGAAGCCCAAGCTGACTCCCTGGTAAGCATGGAGCCCAACATGGGGCTCAATCCCATGACCCTGAGATCATGACCTAAGCTGAAATCAAGACTCAGATGTGTAACTGACTGAGCCACCCAGGTGCCCCACCGAAAGTTAAAGCTTAATGTCCCTCGCTGGAACATTTCCCCTCTAGGAACCAGGACTTCTGAATGTACAGAGCCCAGATTTGCAGGGACAGGAAGCACAAATACCCCCAAGTGATAGGTAAGCATGGCCACTCCTACTTCCACCTCTTAGTTCTAGAAGCCGTGCATTTGACCTTTATAGGTCACAGCCCCATATAATGGCTGTTGATTTAGGGTATACGCTGCAGGGTGGAGGATGGCACCCCATCCTTACAGAGTATTCTCCCCAAGCTGGCACTACATTTGTGCCTTCAAAAGGCCACTTAGGGGGCGCCTGGGTGGCTCAGTCAGTTAAGCGGCTGCCTTCGGCTCAGGTCATGGTCCCAGGGTCCTGGGATCAAGCCCCGCATTGGGGTCCCTGGTCATCGGGGAGTCTGCTTCTCCCTTTCCCTCTGCCACTTCCCCTGCTTGTGCTTTCTCTCTCTTGCTCTCTGTCAAATAAATAATCTTAAAAAAAAAAAAAGGCCACTTAGTTGCTCTGTTAGGATAGTCATCCAAAGCCCCTTTGGAGATTTTTCGTGCCCCTTCCCTGAACATGTTGAGGCTGGAAGACTGTGTCTAAGAAGAAATCTAACAGAAGGTGACAGGGATGGAGGCTATGTGTGGGCCTGACAAAGAGTTCCCTCTGTTGATGCTTTGTCTCCACTCTGCTAACAGCAGGGACTGACACTAACCTTTTAATACCGCTCATTCCTGGGGAGACTAACCAGGCCCTGGTGACAGGTCAGGTACATTGGATTCCTTCCATTTTGAAGGTGGCAAAAAGATTCCTCCTTACTGGGACCGATATGTATTCCAAAGAGGGATTTGCCTTCCCTGCCCACAATGCCTCGGTCAGAACCACCCTCAGAATGCCTCCGTCATCAACATGGTATTCTACACAACACTGTCTCGGAACAGGAGACTCATTTTAGAGGAACAGAGATGCAACAATAGGTTTATCACTGTGAAAGCCATTGTTCTTACCATGAATGGCATGACCCAGAGGCAGCCGTCCTGATAGGATAGTGGGATGACCTGCTGACTTTCCAACTAAGGTGCCAGTATGGCACAGCACCTCATGCGGTCAGGTCTCCATCCTCCAGGACGTGGTTTATGCACCAAGTTAACAGTCGACATATAGTGCTGTTTTCTCTAGTAGCTGGAATTCATGGCTGTGTGAACCAAGGAGTGAACTTTCTCACCATAACCATCAATGACCTACTTGTGGAATTTGGGCTTCCTATTCCCACAGCCTTGGGCTCTACCAGTTAGAAGCCCTAGTTCT